CAGTGCCTCCAGAAGGGCATACACAAAGCCCTAAAGTGGCTTTGTCCTTATCTCGGGATAACACAGCCGTGAATGAATCTCAGGAAATGGATGAGGATGAGGGCATCCACAGCCATGAAGGCAGTGACATCAGTGACAACATATCAGAAGGAAGCGACGACTCGGGGTTAAATGGTGCTCGCTCTGTACAAGAGGAAACAAGTCCAAAGATGTTACAAGAAGCTCCTGACACCACAGTGGCCAGGGAGAACTATGTGTGCATTTTTTGTGACCGCTCATTTAAAAAGGAAAGTGAATACAGCAAGCACCTGAACAGGCACTTAGTTAATGTGTATTATCTTGAGAAGGCAGCAAAAGGGCAGGAGTAGAAATCGCTATGTTTTGGGGAATCTTCTTTTGTAAGATCCTACACAGCTTATGTAAAAATATTGTAGCCTTTTTTTTTAAGCACGGTTTGCTTTAGTGTCTGCGTTGGTTTCTTTTTTGGTTTAGTTTTTTTTTTTACAGTTGAAAATATTTTTGACAACTTTATGTGTCACGATGAACTCATTAACTATTGGATCTCTTAATTAGAGAAAGCAGGTAGGGTGTATGAGGTTGTGTCCTATAAAGTCACTGTAAAACTATTAGCTAGCTTATTAGCTTATGCAGCTTTTTTATACAATGAGTGTTAGGAACAAGACTGGAGCTAACAATATACAAGTTGGACATTTTGTAGAGCCACTGGCATAAGTTGCTTTTTGTTCTAGCAGCCAACTCTTTCTCTCCCTTTTTCCCCTTTCCCATTTTTTTCTTACTTCTTTTCAATGTATCTTGATGTTCAAAGTGTTAAACTACTTGATGGTTTTTTCTACCAGGAAGATAGATTCTATTACATAAAGAGCACTTTGTAAAAGAAATCAAAGTTGGCTAGTGATGAACATAACTGTTTAAAGCTCATTACAATTATAAACGTACATTTCAGATCCCCGAAGCATGAATGATGAGCCAAATTTTGAGAGTAGTCCTTCCAACTTTTGATTGGAGAACCTCAGTCTTGATTAATATCTTAATCACTGATCTGTAATTGGTTTTGTTGTGGGAGAGCAAGTTTGTTATTTTTAATTTCTGCTTTTTGTTTTTTGATTGTGCTTTAAGGGCTTAAAATGTTGCACTTGTTTTTGATTTTTACCTATGCAGTTTAATCTTCTAGGAATAGCGCATGTGCAGTATGTGTACACTTTATATATGCATGTTTGGTTTTGTATGGATAAGTTTTTTTTTTTTTTGGAAACGTTCAGACTTGTTGCTTACCATGGGACAGTTTTCTATGGCAATTTTCTGTGATGCTCCTTACTGCAGATTTTTCTTGTTTTCCTGGGGTGTGATTAACTGTGCATAAAGTTGCTGAAATTATGAACTTCTTGGATATCTGTTTTTAAGCTGGTTTAGAATTGTACAGTCCATGGGCAAAACAATACCAATGCAGTTCCAAAACACTTTTACAGGATTTATTCTGTCATGGAAAAATGACTTCTGATACTTTGAATACACATTCAGAGTAATAAATTCTGATTTGTAATTTGGGATCAGCAGACAGGAAAATAATGTCTCAGTGGAGACAGTCTGCAGATTCTGCAAGTCTGGAATTTTTTTTTTTCTCCTTCCATTTTCATTTTTGTGGTGGACAGCAGTCAAACTTCATGAGCTTTAAAAGTTTTAAATAGTAGCAGTGATATAATCTAACATCTCATACAAAAAAACCCCCCAACAAACAAATAAAGATAAATCAACTGGTAAGCAACAAACCTGGCATTAAAAATTGTAAGAATTTCTGCTCCATATTATTTCAAAACCATCCTGCTTTCATGCAGAGAGAAACATGTAAGTTACCAGATTGTCATCTCAGGTCTTCATGTCATACCAGGAGTTTTTAATTCTAAACAAATTTAATTTCTAGCACACAAATGCAAGAGAGATTGCATACCTAGCTGCTTGTAACCAGCCAGTGGCAAAATGTAAACAAAATTCAAACCATCAGGGAAGAAGCAAAACCCTCCAGGTCCCCTCTCTGCACTCTTCTGACTACCATTAGCCGCCTTTCCAGTGAGAGCAGTTAAAGACAGCTCTCCAAAGAAGCGAATTTGGAGGCAGGTGTTACTTGGGGAGTGGAGTTGAAGAGCTCAGACAGCATTTGTCAGAGTACTTTATTGCAAGTAACTCTCTCTGTGTAAGGTCTGGAATAAACTCATTCTTCACTGTGTTGTCTCCACAGCATCTTTCCCTCCAAACAAACCCACTGCTGTGAATGAACTGAGAGCAGCAATGCTACATTGCTTCTGCTTTGGGAGAGATTGGTAACAGGAGGCCAAAGATTTGAGGGGGAAGGCATCCCTCATGGCAGAAATAAGTTGTATAATGTATAGTGAGTTTTTGTTTGCATAGATAGTGTTCAATCCTTACCTTGGCTGCGACAATCATTGTCAACTCAAGATCAAGTTGCAACTATATTTATGTTGAAAGTTAAAAAAAGAAGCCTAGTTGAATTGTTTCCCTAAACTACCGGTTGGAATAGTTTTAGATGTATTTTTGTTTCTTCATAATAGTGTTTCTTTAGTGAGTGATGTGAGCAGATGCCGGGAATTCCAGTACTGTGGAGAGTTTTAAAGCTGCCTTCCTATCCTTGTGAAGAGTCTTTGCCATTTTGCGAGAGACTTCAAGGACTTTAGCTATGTTCAAGTAAACTCATGGACTGGCCTGATAATTTTTTCCTGTTTTTTTTTTTTTTTAAATGAAAATGATGCTGTTGACTGACTTTAAAGTTCTCTCTGTGAGACAAAAGCAAAGGTGGTTATCTGAAATACTGTGCTGCACATTTCTGTAAAGTGGTCGAGGTTTCAATGCTTGATCTGACAAGAACTCCTTGAAGACAACAATTGGCTCCTCTTTGGCAGAGTTTCCTACCACAAGACGAGAAACTGAAAATAAATTATTAACATACTAAGAAGAAGAAGAGTTGATTTTTTTCTATCTGAGACCCATCAACAATGTCCTGAACTAGCTAATCTTGTTGGAGAACTGTGTTGGAATTCTCTGCAAGGTTTGGGATTATGTTACAATAAAAAGGCAAGGATGTCATGGATTATGTTTATCTCAAATGTTAGGCACTGTTAATATGAATATTTGAGGGGGAGTCTGGGTCACATAGCCCACCATAAATGGTGGTCTTACATTGCTGTGTCTCCCTTTAAACAATGCCTTTTATTTGTTTTTCTTTTTCAATCTTGTTAAATTATTTTGTGTTGTTTTTGCCAATGCTAGCATGTTTTTGGTTTTTTGGCAATAATACCTGTATTTGTGTTCAACCTCCAATACGTGGTTGGAAGGATTAGCATGCTGATACACCCCTACACTGCCAGCCCTTGTTTGAGTCATATGTTTTGGGCTTTTTCTGTATGAATCTATACACTGAAACTAACTGCCCTGAAAAATGGTCAAGAAATTGGTAGATAGGCACTTAAAATCCATGGTATTGCAATTGTTGTTTCTGGATTTTGATGATCTAGGCTGGAACTGTAGTCATTTAAAGAAGAATGTTTAACAGCTGACAGGCCAGTTAAGATACAGTAAATGTCATTGATTTCAGCAGATTTAATGTAGCTGAAAGGTATTAAATAAAATTCAAGAGTTTCCGTGAATGTCAGTTGTGTAGATATGTGGCGTGCATATGATATTAACAGAATCCAAATAGCTAAAGAAATTGGTTTATGTGTACATATATTTTCCCCCCTCTAAAATTACATTAGCTAACAAAATTTTGTGAGCTGGCATGGAAGCATGTTTATGATGTTTAGTTGCACCATGTTTGATGCTTTTACAGTGCAATACTTGTATTCTCTGAATTAAACCAAAGGTAATTTTTTTTTCATGCTCTCTTCTGTAGTGCATGACAGTCTTTTCTGCATTTGTAATAGATGTAAAACGAGCCAGATCGTACTTCCTGTTTTTACCTGAATCATGTATAAGAAGTCTTTTGTTCAAAATGTAGTATAAAGTTAAACTAAATTGCATTATATTAACCTTTACAAGTGTATTTTCCTAAGCATAGTTATGATTAAATAAACTTTATTAAGGAACCTGCAGCTTCTAACTTCCACTTATTATGGCTGTGGAAGCCGTTTGTAATTAGAGGCAGGAGCAGTGCCATTGTCGTTGACAGAGCTCCTGAAGACCTTAAGCCGGGCAAGTGGACCTGAGGGAGTCAATACAGAGATGTCAGACTTGACTGCAGACAGGGACAGTGGCTCCAGAAATGTTCTTATTACTTTTCAATGTATTGTTTTCATTTCCCTGCCTGCTTTAATAAGGACAGGATGCAAGATGGGGGCTGCATGCACACAGACAAGGTTCAAATGCAATGCAGAAGATACTTGTGATTTGGAAGGATGGGCCCAATAGGCATGAAGGGCAATATTTTCTGCCACCAGAGAAGTGCAGCTTGATTGAAACTGTGGAATTTAAATTTTAGTTACGGAGGTAATGCAGGTGACAGTGGAAATGTAGGTTTGTGAGCTGTGCATCTGTTACTCAAGCAGCAAGAGCAGGGTCCAGTGCTACCAGAGGACATGGCCTTGGGGGCTGCAGTGTGGCAGGGCAGTCAGTGCCCAGACAAGGGGCAGGCTTGGGTTGCTCCTCCTGGAGTTTTGTAGGCTGCATGTGAGCAGTTAGTGGTACGGACAGGGAGCAGGAGTGGTGCCTGAGCCTGCCCACAGACTGCAAGGGAATTGTAGGAGTGGCACAGAGATGGCAGGGGCTGGGTATCTGTCTGCCTGTTTGCCTGTGCTGAGTTAATGATTTCAAACTGGATCAATAGAGGAGGCCCTGCCCTTTGTACCACCAGCTAGTGCTGTCCCCCACCTTCAGGAGGGTGTTCCTGGGACAAGCTGGCTTATCTAGAGAACCCAAGTGGGTTGGCAACCTGATAAGTCATTTTCCCTTAAACCTGCAGTCAGGTCATCCTTCTCTTTGACTAGTTCCTTGCATCCTGTCAGAAAACCTGCTATTTTTTTCCCAGTAGAAAAACAGGATAAAATCCACTAGGCCTAGCACATGCTTTGTGCTAAGTTTTTAACAGAACCAGGTAACCAAGCACAGGTGCATGGCTCTGCAGTACCTTGCAGGCCAGCAGGAGATCTTGCCCACAGTGAATTGCCCAAAAGGTGAGTTGGCTGGCGTGAGAGATGGTTTAGCTTCCTGATGGCCTGGATGGGGACAGAGCAAGCTCATGTCTTAATTCAGCTGCCTTATTCAGGCTTTACTAATGCTCTGAAGGAGCTGAAATACTAGGTTCCTGATTTTGGTTTGGTGGTTGTCTTTTGTTTGTTTTTAGAGCTTAGCCAAGCTGACATAAATTGCTTTAACACTGTTCTTGTATATAAGTGTATATATGTACAATGTAAGCTATATGTAGGAAAAGGTAGATCTAAAAGGATAGATCCTTCCCTTGCCAAGATTGTATTTTTAACCTTAGTAAATTGAGCTTTCTGGATCTCCACCTTGGCTGGAAGCACTAGACCTGCAGCAATGCACCCTATCTCAAGCCAGGCAGCTGAACCTTTCCCTTGTCCACAGGCTGGTCAAGGGAGCCTTCTTGGTCTCCGTTAACCCTGTATGGGTCAGAGTGCTCAAGCTGCTGTCATCTGCAGCAGATGCTGTGCTGCAGGTGAAGGACAGATGAGGTTTATTGCTGGGTTCGTTTCCATCTCCAAAAGAGCCAAATGGCAAAAAGTTGAGTGGAAGGATAGTGACTGATGCCTTGGTGGGTATGCCGGGGACAGGGATGTTGACAGTGCCCTGAGTCACTGCAGACTGCATCTATCAGCTCATATATAGATGTCACTCAGCAACTTTTCAGATGAGACCTCTTTGGATCATTTCAATAAAAGATTGGACTGTGAGTAGGTGCTTAATCTCTGGGAACACAATGTCAACCTCAGTTTTAGCATAAAAAATGCTAAAAGGAAAATAGGAAAAATGGAGAGCACCTCAGTTCTGCTCTCATTCCTTCCCATCTTCTCTGCTCTCAAATTCAAAAGAAAAAAATCTCCATGAAGTTACCAATAGCCCTCAAGTTCTTTTTTAGGTGAATAGCTTCCCTGCCTCCCCATGGCAGAGTTTGTGGTGTTTGTGGTGGTTTTTCTTTACACAAATCTGTTCTTTTTCTTGCTCTAATTGTAGTTTCCTGAATTCTTTGTCACAGAATTTTCATTCAAAGGTTTCTATGCCTTTTTCAAGCCAGCAAACCCTGGAAATGCTCTGACAATTCAGGCAAAGTTGCCCCTATTTTACACAATGCTCCATGGAGACAGGCAATGTAATTGAAGTTAAACTAAGAGCTTAGTAACTTACAGCACAGATCCTGAGACTTGTGAGTCCTATTTACCACTTCTAATAAAAAAACAATCACCAAACTCTGTCTTTTCTAAGCAGTGCTGGTCCCTACAAAGTGTATGCATTCCTGGGCCAGTCTTCCAAGCACCACCTCAGGGGCTGGGGGTCCCCTGTTGGTTCCCTGACATAACTGTTAGCCGCAGGCAAGGTCTCTTGCCTCAGCATGAATTTGCAGGGTATGTTTCCTTCTCTGACAAGGGCTGAACTCTAGTGAAATACCCCTGGGCCAGCTGGACTTAAGCAAACCTCTTTCTAGAGTTGCTCTGCATTCCATGGGTTTGTCTTAACTGCCTGGGAGGTGAGGACACGAGCTGACCTCTTTTGGAAATGGATGCCTCTCTCTCCAGCCCGCTGTCTTCAGCCAAAGTCCCCTGCTTTGTCCTTGGGTCTCTCCAACCTGATGATCTTCTCTGTCATCTTCTACCTTTTCTATGGTCTTAAGTGCGTCTCTCACTGTTACTATTACAGTGATGTGGCACTAAAGAGAGCACCAAAACTCAGATCACTGGTTTACAAGAAGGAGCATAGAGGAAAAGAATGTTTTCTTTTCAAAGTAATCTGGTTTTGACCTTCTGTATCTGCCAGTGGATGGAAACAATGAGGAAAAAATTTCTGGTCAGCCTCAACACTTGGTTTCAACTCTGAGCCTGTCATTCGGTGGCATTTCTGAAATGTCTTATAAAGAAAGAAGATTTTTAAACTACAACTGGCTTCCAACTCCCCTAGAATTTTTTTTTTCTTGATTTTGATACTATAGAGCCTAAAATGGCCTTGGATACCTTGATTAATTTTCCTCTAAAGGAAAAAAATACAACAGACCAAAAAAAGGGGACAGAGTCACAAAAGCCTTTGGCTGACCAAAACCATCCCCTCCAGAAGATGGAACAGCAAGAAAGAAAATATGTGTCCAGCTTTACAGGTGATATCAGTGCTCAGAGGGCTGAGCACTGCACTGTTTCCCTTCTGGTTTGTGCCAGTTTGGAAGCAAAAGAGCAGGCAGGAAAGGCAAGGGACCACTAAGGGACCTGACTGGGATGAGATGAGGAACTCACAGTCAAATTCACAACTTGTTTTACTAAGGTGAGAAATCAATATAGGCCTCCTCTCTGCTGCAGCCCACCTTCAAGGTAGGTGACAGGTTGCAGCACCTTCCACCTTGGTTTCTGCAATGGAACCAAAGCCCAGTCTCACGGCTGATGAGAAGACTGAGAGAAAGGCTAGTGTCCCTGCTGAAGGCCTTTCAAAAGGTTCTAAAAGATGACCAGTGGAAATTCTCCTTGTTGCCATATGAGCAGATACTGAGAGCTGACACCTTCAACAGAGAGGAAAGAAAGCCTGAGGGTTTGTCTAAATTTTTTTAACTGAAAACTTTGGATTTACAGAAAAATCCATGTGGAAATGTAGTTGACCCTTCCTACTGCATCTTATCTCCAGTAAGTACCACTCTGTTGTGCCCTGTAAACCTTCTGCAGTTCATTAGGTATCCTTACAAATGTGATGCAGATGTACTTTACTCAGTGTTACATGGTGTGTCAGAGGAAAAGCCACTTTAAAATACTGATGCCGAGGATAGAACGCTAGTCCTTGTAACAGTATTTGTGGTTTAAGTGTTTCCCCCTGCCTTTTCCTTCCAGAGATCTCTGGCATCCTGAGCCAGGATTCCCTTGTGCTTCAGGAGCTGTGCAAGCCCGCAGGTATCACTAGATGGTGCCAACAGTCCGCCAGCTCCAGCACTGCTCTTCCAGCCTGGAGAAACACCAGGTTTGAGCTCCGGGATGTATACTGGACTACTTGGCTGAGGACGACAAGCCCGGTTTATTTTTCCGAAGCTGAAAACAAGAATCAACTGCATTTTTTACAACGTTCCAAGTTAGTGAATCGCTTCTAGGAAAAAATAGTGCCAGAAATGTGATCACGTTTTCAAGCCACTGTAAAATTTTACACATGAAGAAAACCAGCAGTTCTTAGGGAGGGAATAATAGTTGCAGCAGAACAGATATACGACATGTTTATGTGATACTGGACTGATACTAACCTACTCTGTTACCCCGCTGTGAGAAGTCAGAATATGGTGCAGAACATTTGTGGTGTGGATTTCTGTGTGTCCCCAGATACTCTGAAAGGGAAATGTATCTGCAACCAGAAGCAAACGCTTTCTCTGAACTGCCTTCTTCCAAGAGCTTCCAGGAAAACAGAGGCTGTCAAAGCTGTGAGCCAAATGACAACTCAGTTAGTTCTGACCCATTTGGTTTGCTTCCAGCTGATGAGAATTTGGTTGTCAAAAGAAAACCTTACTTAGGAAGATCCAAGTAAACAATCAAGTCTGAACAACTTTTTTTTTTCCTGTCGTTTTTTTCCCCCCCTTGTCCTAAGGGATTTTTCAGCCTTTGAGCATTTGTCTATGACCTGAAGTAAGATTTGAAAATGTTGAAAACTGTTGAAATAACAACTTTATTGCAATTTCTCCCACTGTGAACTTGAAATAATTACTGTAAAAAATACAATTTGCATTTTTCTTGAAGTTGTTTTCCACGAGGGAACCCTCTGATGGATTATTTCCAGCTGGTTCTTGAGGTTAGATTTGCATGCCCTGCTTTCTTTATTCCCCTCCCTTTTGGCCTTTGCTCTCTTGCTTGTGCCTAGTCACTAATGGGTTATAATGCTGCAGATCGTGGGCTTGCATTTGCATTGTAGTTTTTATAGCCTTCAAAACCACAATGTGTGTTTATTTCAGAAAGTGAACAGATAAAAGCCTTGGTCAATAAGTAATTTTTTTACTCCATTGTGTACTTTCCACCACATTTGTAACAGTAAGACAAAGGAAGAAGTTTTCTAGGAGTCTGTTGGGGCTGGCCAAATACACATACATACACAGTGTTCTTCAGTTATTCTAAACCCCCACAACTTCGGCACAAACAGAATTTGAACTTCTAGTGAAAATCCAGTAATAATTTTTCATATAATGAAAATAATGATCTTTTAGTTGAGCATTTTTAGAAAAAAACCAAACAGTCCTAACAATTTTCTACAGATTAATTGGCTTCATCTTCTATTGCTTACCAGCTGTCCTCAAAACTGATAAGCTTATAAATCTCTTTACTAAGTTTTTAACTAATTGCAGTTCAAAGTGAGAGAGAGAGGCAAACAGGATTGACCATGTTGAGGATTCTGGGGTAGCTCACTGAGCCAACCAGTCCCCAAAATTTGAATGTCATCAAATACCTGTATTACATGAACTCTTTGACCATCTGAATTATGTGGCTTGATATTTCATATAAATTCCAATAATTTTCCCCTTAGTAGAGGGTTTACCAACAGCAATGATTTCAATAGGAATTTTAACTGTATTTGTTCTTCTTAGTTATAGTGGAAATAAGTGAGTGGAGGAAAACAAGGAGAAAGGCAGAAAAAGCTCTAGAAATGCTGCACACCAACCAGACTTTCTCTGTGTGGGTTAATTTCCTAGACTTTGGAATGTGATGACACTACTTTGGTCAGCTTAGATTAGGTATCTTAGGTCAGAGATCTGTTCCTGGAAGGTTGGGCCAAAGGTCACTAACAAACAATTTCTGAACAGCTGCTGGATGAAAAAAAAAGGAAAACAAGCCTTCCATTAACAGGATGCCCCTGTCACCCTGCGCCCTGGATAAAATTTTATTTACATACATATGGACCAGGCATGGCAACGGCAGTGCCTTGACAAGTACGAAGTGTGTTCTGTTCACAAGAACTTTCTCAGGGCACAGAACAAAATATGCCACCTCAAAGGTAAAGCTGGAGAGGGGCTGGATGTTCTAATTAGCAGCTCTACATGAGAAACAAAGCATTTTGGATTCCCACGCCCATATTCTCCTTCTCCCGAGATATAAAAGTATTCTTCGGAGAGTAAAAAGGGAGGTGAAATACCTGAGAAGTAATTTCTGAGTCAGAGTATATGGTGCCGACACTCATTTTACCCTAAGGAACAAAACAAAGAGTGGTAACTTATTTCAAATTGTGGCCTAATGACATAAAAGGAAAGACACTCACACTCAGTGACTCCGAAGAATCAAGCAGGAAAAGAACCCTTTATTTACATTTCATGTCTATTTATAGAATTCCAGCAATGACCATGGATTGGACAGTGAGGATAATTCCTCCTGACCCCTAAGTCCCATCAACAGTCCATCAATCCTCTCTTCCTCCAAAGAGGAATGCAAAACAATCATTATTTACAAGAAAGAGTGTGAGAAAGTGTAAAAGAATCTGTCAACAATCAGGAGGCTGAAACACAAGGCAACATCAAATATCAGCCCTTTAGAATGTAGACAGAAACTGGTCACAAATAAAAACCTGCTCCTTGATTGAGATGTTTCATTAATGGTATAAAATGGGACAAGGAAGAAACACTTGGGAAAACAGTGAATTCAAAGAGACTATTTCAAGGTTATGTGATAAAACGCTTAGTTTCTTCAACTAATTAGGGCTACTGGGGAATGTGCAGTTTCTAGGTCAAATTAAGTGTAAGGAGCTTCCTTCTTTCTTTAGCCAATTAAAAAATAAAGCTTGTCTGAACTGTATTTGCAATGTAGTTTTTTTCCCCCTTGCTTATCTCTCTTCATTTATTCATGCTGTATACTCAGCAACCAAATAAAGTTGAGGCAGCAACCAAAACCACACCAGTTTATTAAAATCTACAGTTCATATTTGTGTCCCATCTGGAGGATCCCCCAAGTAATTTTGAGCAGTAGAACTTAATATATGGTGCTTAAAATGTTCTTCAGCTGCACCTGATGATAATGGTGGTTATTGCTGTATTTCCCATGCTCTGAAAACATGAACAAAACGTTCAGATGGCCTGATCCTGGGCTCTGTTTATCTTGAGAAGCTGATTGTCTTGGTAGAAGATGTCACTCAATATTTCTAAATGGGAAGGTTTTGTTTATGCTTCTTTTCTCCTGCTGCAGTGATACAGTTGATAGTTCCAGTCTCAGGACAGTCTCTGTAATCACAGCTGATATTGCCATCTCCATCTTACACAACCATCTAGTGCCCCTCTGAGCAAAAAATAATCTTCTTTTGAGCTCCTGTCAAGACTGGCTCAATCATTCTCACCTCTCTGCTCCAGTGAGTTCCTCTTTACTTATGCATCAGTATAATTTTCTGATTTTTGCAGGCATGGGGAATAGCCTGCAGACAAAGTCTGAGATGAAAACAGTGAGAAAATCCATTCCACCATATAAAATGAGGAAACAGTATTTCAATTGGTTCAGGGTTTTTTAAAGCCTATGAAAAATACCACTGTTCTTACTTTTGTTCCTTAATTAGGAAATGAGAGTGGGTTTTTTTTTCTGACAGTGGAGTCTTTATCGTCAACTGCTTCTGCAGTTTGGCTATTATTTTTTTTGAAGAAGAAGAAATTCAAAGTAAAGCTGGCATTTTCACCTTCTGTTTGTGTTTCATGGTGGATTTTCATAAGCAAAAGAAAAAAAATGCTATTTCATAATTAAATGGAAATGTAAATTCAACTTCTAAGCAGCCTTTTTTGCGTTACTTGAAAACTTTAACAAAGATTGTCAAAAATGTTACTTCATATTATGTAAAACAGAAGTCTTTGGGCTTTCAACTGTGTTCCAGACTACTTAAGTGGAATCGTAACTCTCTGAGCCACTGGTTTCAGTGTGATTCATTAAATTATTGACACAGTTTTTAATTACAACCTTTTTATTTAAAATCGAGGCTTTCTACTTCTTTGAAGCATACAATGTTCATTTTTCACAGCATCTGATTTTGCAGGAGCAGTACCCCTACCTCAAATATGTCAGCAAGGATCTATTTACTGTCTATAGCTTCTGCAGTGATGGTTCCTGTAGCCTGGTGGCAGGAGAGAAAGTCTCCTTAGGTACAGCCTGGAATATGATACAGGTTTCCACATTGTCTTCACACACTCTTCCAGAACCCAATCCCTCTTTTTCTCTGTGCTGTGTCTTGTGTCATCAGTGCTAGACAAAGCCTGTACTTACAAGGGCTCCCCACATTTAGGACCCTTGAGAGCCAACTAACTGGTCAGTGCCACAGAGATCTGGCTAAGATATAGCTCTGGTTTTCCCTCCAGGTATTGGACAAAAGGGACAGCCCCCACTATTCTCCAGTCTTTTTCTTATATGCCACAATGCAAGAGAGTTATTCTTTTCAGACCTTTTCATTTTTCTAATAAAAAGCCTCATTTCCAAGAAGACTGGAGCGCAAATTACCTTCTCTATTCAATCACAAAATCTAATCACTGCCTTTTCTTTTTTCACCACTAATAAAAGCTATTGAAGTAAAGCACCCTTCTCTCATTACGGAAAAAACAGGCAGTAAGTCACCTTGAGATTAAAATGTATACTGCCACACACTTCTCTTGGCAATATAGAGCAGTAATTGCTTAAGCCAATGACAACAGAGACTAAAGGGAATATTGCATTTTTGTGGAACATTTCCAGGGACAATGGGGGAAATACTCCACTGATTTAAAGTTGCACAAAGATGCTACTCTGGCTGATGTAAATTATCATGTCTTCACTGAGATGAGTTTCTCAGCTCCTCCAGCTCTCACAACTTGGGATATTTCTCTAAATAGGAGCTATGATCCAGTCAGCTTAGATGAGTATGACAAGGCAGATGCATTAGATCAGTAACTGATGTTCCAGGCTGCCTGCTGGGATATGCCCTTAGGACAACCCAGGAATTTGGCATAGCCTTTGCTACCCACTTAGCAGGTTGCAAAAGAGTCAAGCAAAAATGTGCCACATCTTCAGGTTATCTTGCTACCTGTCATGGCTGAGGCGGCAAATATCAGATAATTACACCTATACTTTCTGGAAAAATAATAGAGAGGAGGATGGGGCGGAAGTAGGGACATGAATTAACAAAGCCTTTCTAGTCTTTATGGTTTTGTTGCAGTTCTGTTGTGATCAAAGAACTGGTGAGGCAAAAGCTGGTCCCAGTGCTGTGCTACTAAAGTTTGAAGAAAAAACCCAAAGACCTTGCCTCTATGGGTACAAACTAGAGATTCATGATAATACAAAGCAGAAGCCAAGAATAGGTTGAGGGTAAAGTGTTACAATCAGATAATATCTGAAAACTCAATAGAGCATCCTACAAAGGTCAGGTTGCCTTGTATTTTAAGTATCTATGGAAACACTTCAGGGGCAGGAAAGCTCAAAGTAAAGGTTGAATGTTTAACCCCTAACTTTAAAACATTCTATAGGCACCTTATAAAAACAGACAGAAAATACAGGCTGGTACTTCTCATGTCATATATGAAGGGAATTTTTTGTTGGTTTTTGATTGATATTCACACATGTTTTGCAGGTGTCTTTAAATATGATATGCTGCTCTGTTTCAGCAATGTGTTATCTTCATTGTATTTTTATGTGTAGAGAACTGTTAGCTTTCAGACCTTACAGATCAGAAATGGGAATGACTTGGAAAATTCTAGCAGTGTTAGCATGGACAAACCTTTAAAAAGCTCAGCTTGAAGTCTGACATCAGCTCTGT